GGAGGAGGGCCATCTGGCTTGTTTTTTAGGTGGTAAAAGGCATTTTAAAGAAACACCAGGATGAAAGCCGGGCTGCTGCTGTGCGCAGGTTGGGATTAAGAGGGAGGCAGAGGGGGACCAGGATTGGGCTAGCCCATCGCTTTAAGCCGCCAGGTAGCAGAGCTAACAATGAATGTTTCTCTTTTGTTTCCTACCCTTGTTGGAGCCTTGGAAAGCTGGAAGCAGCATTACAAGCTAATTCTTTCTCCCCTCCCCCCTTTCTGTCTCTAGAAACTTGAAGGGTCTAAGTGCAGAGGGCAGCTTTTGATTTTTGGGGCAACCAACTGGGACTTGATTGGTCGAAAAGAAGTGCCTAAGCAACAAGGTATGTTCATTACTCGCTGCCAGTGGGTCGGTTCCGAGCCCACGGCACCCCTGAGGTTCAGAGCAGAGCTGCCCCTGTGGGTTTCCAGGGCCGTAGATCGCAGGGGAAAAGCCCAGCTGCCCCGAGTGCCGGGGTTCGAACGGCTGACCAAGATTAGCCTAACAGACGGGCACTTAGCCACCGGGCCACCCAGCCTCCGCAGTCTCAGTGCAGTGCCCTGAGTGTTTCCGGTGGACCAGGCACTGTGCTCATTAGCAGGCAGGGGATTCTGATAACCGCTCTGCAGGTAGGCGTATGCATCTCTTAAAACCGGGAAAGCTGAGTTCAGAGAGGCCCAGTGACTCGCCCAGGGCCACACAGCCGGAAGAGCAATGGAGTTGGGCTGGAACCCTGGTCTTGTGGGAGACTCGTTGACCGATTGTGCTTTAAAAACAGAGAAGCCCCAAGTTGGTTGGTTGAGACGAAACAGAACAACATAAGTAGACACCTCAAGTAAACCGCCTCCTTGCTGACACCTTTTTCCGTCTTCCTTCTCGTGTTACTTTCATTAAAATCAAGATGCTGGTCCTGGGGGATGATTCTGCAAGCATGCTCCTTTGCCACCTGCCAAGAGTGTTTCAGGAGCTGGCCTGACGGCACAAGTCAGGTCCGTGGGGAGACGGGAGAGCCACAGCGGGCCCAAGAAGTGCCTTTCTGTCTCCAGTTGCCTTTAGGAAATCTGGAGAATACATACTGGCCCATTCAGCCGCCAGAAGGCCGGTACATTTCCCCACTTCATGGCAACTTGGTTTTATTTGGAAAGACTCCCGACGTTCTTTCCAACCTTGCTTTGCTCAGTGAACAAATATGTGCACGTTGCCACTCTCTTGTCCTTGAAGATGAAGATGGTGGCGCTCTGCCTTGCCCTGACCCGCCACAGTTACATGTGGGTGGGACCTGAGCCACCTGCAGCAGCTCTGGTTCCCACCTTAGGGACCTAGCCATCAACATTAGGGCTTAGGCTCCGGGCAGAGCGTGTTGTCCACCCCCGCCTGTGCTGCCTTCCATGGTGTCCCTGAGCTGCTTTTGAGCTGTGTGGGCCCCCTGGGCCCTGCTTGGGGACACAGGTGTGAAGGAGGAGGTAGGTTGGCCGGGCCTGGGTTAGAGCCTCTTGCCTCTGGCAGATGATA